AATGTAGTTGCTCGGTCTAGTGCAGAAGCAGAATACCGAGCAATGGCTATGGCAACATGTGAACTAGTCTGGACCAAACAATTGCTCAAGGAGTTGAAATTTGGTGAAATCAGTCGGATGGAACTTGTGTGCGATAATCAAGCTGCATTTCATATTGCATCAAATCCGGTGTTTCATGAGAGAACTAAAAACATTGAGATTGATTGTCACTTCGTTAGAGAAAAGATACTCTCAGGAGATATTACTACGAAGTTTGTGAGATCGAATGATCAACTTGCAGATATTTTCACCAAGTCCCTCACTAGTCCTCGCATTGATTATATATGTAACAAGCTCGGTACATATGATTTATATGCTCCGGCTTGAGGGGAGTGTTAGAGATAGCTATGTAAATGTTAGAGATAGCTATGTAATTGTCCCACATTGGAATAAGAGTAGTATCCCCTTTGTATAGAGTAGCTATAAATAGCACCTCTTGTATTGCATCACATACAATATCAATATATCATATTTTCTCTCGTGCCTTCTCACAACCTCAATGAAAGAAATTTTGTCTGAACCATATCCTGTTGGAAATTCAGCAGTTAACTTGGTAGGAAATGTTAGAAGATCTATTCTTACAAAAATTTCAGTAGTCTTAGTGTTGTCTATGAGGTATCCTGAATTCTGAGTATGTTCTCCTGACTTGGAATTTAGAAGTATGAAGATTGAATTAGTTGTCAAAGTTTCAACTACTACTTCCAGAAAGAGAAAAGGAAAAACAATATACTTTCCTATGTAGCAGTTTTCTGCTACTGCTTAAAGATTGAATTACTCAAGCAGTTTTCAGCTGTTGCATAATCTGCAGTTAGGTGATGCTAAACACTGTCATTAAAAGGTGTTGTGATCAAGTCTCTGCAATGGTGTTATCAATTTAATAAATGGTAGATGGGCAATCATAAATACGGTGTAGGACTTTTCTAAGGTTGTCTTAAGTATGTCATGTTAGATTCTCTTATCAGAAAATTCATTTAAATGAATTCGCTAGAGATGCGAATATTGAATTTGGGCAAGTTCCTGGATGAAGTTCTCACTATCATTTTCTACTCTGCCTCTAATGAAGATCACTTTCTTCTTCAACAGTTTAGCCTGCAGGATCGCAATATGTCTATTTCTTTTTGTATTTCCTCTGTTCTGGAAAAATTTCAGTGGTACAACAATAACAGCTATGCCTTAATCTGAAACTAGTTAGTGTCAATTTTGTATACTCCCCATGACAGTAATATGAATGTAATTTTATATGGTCAATGATCAACACACTCCAAAAAAAAAAAAACTTTTTCCCCAGCAGACTTGGATCATTACCCTCCTCTTTTTGCACAACATCCGCTGATTTGTCCTTAGTGGTGGTTTAGAACCTAAAACCCTACAGTTGGCTTCAATAAAACTTTAACAAATTACACCAAATATCCCGAAACACATCATAAACCTCCTCAAACATTAGGGGCAAAATTCATGCATTGGCTGCTTATTATGTTTTAGATAAGCGCACCACATATCTGATTCTACACTTGATCAAAAACAGGAAGCAGAAGAAACACACTACACAAAAGCAAAAAATCAATTATACAAAGCAAACAGAAGACAGGTAACTAGTTCCCCAGAAACAAAGGCAGCTCATCAAAAAGATAACGATATTAATATACTGTTATTACTTATCGGGAAAAAAAGGAATATCAGGACCTTGACTTCTGAACTCGTTTAAAAGAAAAGGATAGTGGGATGCTGAAAAAGAATAGTTCATAAATGCAGATTGTATTTATGAATAGTTCAACTGATGATGCTGAGGGTGATCTTCATTCTTTTTGAAGCCACATCTGGATTATACATTAACTAGAACGAAAGCTTTATATACAGTTATGAGGTGGAAGAAATTCATAGCTTAGCTAGAATTCTTGGAGGAATGATTGGGGAGTTGCCAACAGTTTATTTGGGGATGCCTTTAGGGGCCAAGAGTAAGTCAAAAGGGATATGAAATGGGGTGTTAGAAAAATGTGAGAAGAAGCTAACAAATTGGAAAAATCAGTACCTGTCCATGGGGGTAGATTGATTCTAATTAATTATGTGCTTGTTGCAATGCGTACTTATATGATGTCTCTTTTTCCTATTCCAGCAAATGTATTGAAAAGGATAACATTACGAAGAAACTTCTTACGGCAAGGTAAGAGTGACAATAAAAAAATCCATTTGGTTAAATGGGTGTCTCTTTTAGCTAGCAAAAAGGAAGGAGGTCTTGGGATCAAGAATTTGAAAGTCTACAACCAAATTTTGATGATGAAATGGTTATGGAGATTTGCAGCAGAAGAAGAGCCACTAAGGAAACTTGTGATTAAAGAAAAATATGAGATGGAAGGAGAATGAACAACCAAAGCAGTTAATTGTCCATATGAGATCAGTCTCTGGAGATTTATTAGAAATTTGTGGCCTAAAATGATGATCAAGTCTAAAGTCAGAGTTGGGGATAGAATGAAGATATCCTTTTGGGAAGACAATTGGCTAGGTCAAGGAGCTTTGAAACATCTTTTTCCCGACATTCACTCCCTAAATCAACAGCAAGCAGCAACAGTTGGAGAGGTATGGGCAAACCAAGGTTGGAACCTAACCTTCAGAAGACTTCTGAATGATTGGGAGATTGGGAAAGTAACACAATTCTATAATACTCTAGAGCAATTTAAAGAGACTTCAACTAGAGAAGACTGCATGATATGGCAAGGGCATAGACAAGGAAAGTTTTCAGTTAAATTTGCCTACAAGGAGTTCAATTTTTCAAATAATCAGACTGGGTGTTGGCCATGGAAGATGATATGGAGAGTTAAGATTCCGTACAAAGTTGCCTGCTTTACATGGTTATTGGCAAAAGAAGCAGTGTTAACTCAGGATAACCTTATCATGAGAGGTTATCAACTTTGTTCCAAGTGCTACTTATGTGGACAAGAGGCAGTGACAACAAATCATCTCTTTTTACATTGTAGATGGACAACTCAGTTATGGAGGATATTCATTAGTTTGAGGGGCATCAGGTGGACTATGCCAATAAGAATACTTGAGGTACTAGCATGCTGGACCAGTGAGGGTATCTCTTCTGGCAAGAAAGAGATAGGAGGATTGTCCCTGCTTGCATTTGGTGGACAATTTGGGAAGAAAGAAATCAAAGATGTTTTGAGGACAAGGTCAATAGCATCCAAAAATTGAAAATGAAATGTCTTGTCCTGTTCTATCTTTGGTGTAAACAAGAAGTCTTAGAAAAACCTGAATCTATTTTTGATGTATTAGAATCCTTATGAGAAGACTAAGGACTAGGAGTTTGTTTTGATTCTTGTAAATATGGGGGACTACACACCCTTTGTGTAGTTTGTTATTAATATACAAATATTTTACCTTCTCAAAAAAAAATGCAGATTGTATTCAACAACTTAGAAGTGTCCGCTACAGAGCTCACTCTGCTGTAAGTAGAATTAAGGACACAGCTAGGACCAAAGTAATTATAACTATTCAAAAGAAAACAGAAATAAGGAACTCACAATAAGCAGAGATAAAACTTAAATAAGAAGAATAAGCAGCAGTTTTAAAATAAAAATGCTTACATCCGCTCTTGTGTCCACCACAATTCCAAGAACAGTATCCCCCACGGTAGGTATATACTGTAAATATATTTCAGTGGATCAGCAAATGAAAGAAAGTTCAACTCGATTAGAAGAGAGCATCCTAATCTACTTTCTCAAGAAAAAGAGATCATCCTAATCTAATGTCAAAAACAGATGAAGATGGTTAAAACTACAGTAGAAATCAAGTATCACTGATGGAATCATTTAGTACTATGGCTCCCTTTTCAGTCCATGGTTCAACACAATATGTTTAACTTTGTAATTTCATTCTTTTTTCCTTTATAAAGTTTTTTCCCGAGTTAAATGAGTACAAGAAAAACCACAAAAGACTCCGATAATTCTGAATTGGATAATCTTGCTTTATCTCTCAGATATAGGAATATTAACGGACTTGTGCAACTAGTTGATTTAAGAGATTAAATTTTGCAGATCTAGCCATAAAGCACATTGGCTTAGAAACATAAAACCCTATATGAGATTTTCATTTTAGCAACAGAGCAACTTATATATTACAGCTATTTAGACTATAGTATGACCTCAAAGCTGATGAGTTAAATCAATTTCCAAAATTCAACCTAAACAGTGAATAAGTGCTACATTGTTTTACTTAGTACTCATCCCCTTTGTGTTTCCCTGTAAGAAAATCCAATGCCCAGTTTACCATCAATCATCAGAAGAATGTAGTAGTGAAAAGAAATAGTTTTCACTTTAAATGTATTAAGATATTGGCCAACCACCTGAAGAAAGCAATAACCTGGAATTTTTCCGATAACATCAACTGAAAATAACAACAGAAGTATATACTTAGATAATTTCTAAGGCTCCCATTATCCCCAAGTTTCGAAGGCTGTGGTTGTACCTAAGGGTTGGCCCCATAGGGATATCTCGTCAGCAAAAAAAAATGTCTAGAAAGATAGCACTGCACTCACTCTCTTGTGTGAGCTTTCAATCCAGTATTTGTTTGGCTTTGAAAACCTCAAAATACCAGCTTTGACGACAGTTATAGCGTCATGGTCCTGCCAAAGCGGGAAAAATATGTATAGAAGATCAGAGATATTTATCTTGACGGCAGTTAGAAAATCTAAGATACTGCTGTATTGCCTCATTGTACTTTCAATTTTGAGCATACTAAAAGTAGGATAGAAATTTCTCAAGTACCAATATTCAAACCATAACTCAAATAATGCTAAATCAATTACTATCATCTACAGGGGAAAATAACATATATAAAGGAAATGTCCCAGAACAGTGGGGGAAGCAACCACAAGTCGGAGATCTCAGAGGATCAGTGTCTAGCTTGAATACGTTACCTATGTATCTCTTTTTGGTACATATGGAATGAAAGAAATAAAAGATTTTCCCAAAATAGCAAGAATGATATCTTCAAATTTGAGTTCGTGGTGTAAAGTCAAGTATATAAATGATCCAGAATCACTGACAGCTTCGCGGACACCCTGAATTTGAGAAGAACTAAAGCATTATAAATGTACATAGTTTTTAGCATTTGGTTGCATTGAGTAGTGAAATCCCAATTTGCTGAAGGCAAAAATGGTAAGAGCGATGTATAAAGTATAAATGGAACCTTTTTTTATATGTATTTTTTTGTGCAACGAGATAAGACCATGTTCTATAGGCAGCTGGACAAACTTTAGATGACTCTTGTTGACACGAGTTGAGTCATATACACAATTTGAACATATTCTTCAAACAGTCTTGGTGTTATATAAATGAAATTGTTTGAGCTATATAAAAGGGAAAATGGTGGAAGAAAATATGTTCTTTTACTAATTGCTAATAAGTGTTGAACGAAAAAACAAAAATGTATCAAAACTCATGTGCCACAACAAGCAGAGTTCAGAAAATCACAGTAGCTACACGAAAAATAATCAAAGCATCCATAAGAAATTAACCCTACTGAAACAAAACCTGATGGAGGCCGCCACCCAGCTTAATGGTTTGGTCAGTCAACTTAGAAAGATCCAAAATCACATCACCAGGAACCTGATTAAAATCAAAAAATACAATCTTTTTTGCATTAAATATACATGCGTGAATTTCATGACATAAATAAATATCTTGGCACATAAAAAAGAAGAAAAAAATTAGTGGGGGGAAAGAGGGTACTTACTACAGATTTATCAATGAAGGTTGAACGAGTAGGTAAGGGCTTTGAAGCCATTGTCTTTCTTCGTTTTAACTCTGTTACAAAGGGAAGTGTAAAACTCAGAGCAGCTGGGACGGGAGCCTGTTGTAGGAGAAGACGGCGTAAGAGAATATATAAATTTTAGTTTAAATATTTTACGTTTAAATTTACATCAAAATTTAAATAATTAGACCCTCGTGTCATATAACTAGTACTAATACTTTTTCAGAGAGAAATAAGAAAAAAATGGAGCTATTTTTTAAGGTATGTGATTGCAAACAACAAGGTTGGTTCAATTTAGATATTTTATTATCGTACGATAAAATTGACTAAAGTGATGAAGAAGACAAAAGAAATTTTCTTGAAACTTGGAAATTTGAGCAGGGTTGAGACCCTTTTAGGAGGTAAGATTGCGCTGTAGAGATGGTTGATGCTATCGCAGCTTCTCTCCTTCCGTATCTTCTTCCCGTGGAGACCCGACCCTGACCCGTTTCGCCGTGTGGCTATTTATTCGGGCCTTTGGGTTCAATGACAGGAATGGGCCTAGAGAGTAGAGACACAAATAGACAATGTTTAAGAAAAAGTTTCAAAAACCTAGCAGCAGAAGGTATATTACATGGCACTGCAGCTAAATAAATATATTTCTTAGCATAAATCTATACATATGGATCAATAATCATGTTTGATAAAAAATTCAAAGCATTCAATTCCTAGAAAAACGTATAAAGCGATATCAATAATATCATGATCTTCCTCCCTGATTTCAATAGTTAATACCATATTGATGAGATTCATTTGTATTACCTTCATGCATCCTATAAATAAAGGGTTTGGGCATTACATTGTCGTCACGATCTAAAATTCTACTAGATTGTGATGGCACCTAACTCTAATGCTAGGTTAGCCAAACATACAATTAACAAGGCAATAAAAAATGATAGATTATTCATAGCAAGAAATACATGACTGAATTTTATACAACCTCTCAAGGACCGGTACTCCTAGGGGTGGGCATATTTCAGTTCGGTATTCAGTTTATCAATTGTGTGTACCAAATACCGTACCATATTATTTTGGTACAGTTCGGTATATTTTATTTTGGTTCGGTACATTTTATTTTGGTTCGGTACATTTTATTTTGGTTCGGTACGACTTCGGTTTAATAATCGCTAAATAATAAACTTATTTTGGTTCCATTTTGTAGCACCAAACGGGAAACAACACAACTGACAAACATTTTTTGTCGAGAAACAAAAGTGGCAGAAACAGTTCGTAGCACCAGACATGAATGAATAATTATTCATGTACAGCAATCTGCTTGAAATTTCATAACATCTATATTCTTAAGCAATTGCAGAGACCCAAGTAGGAGTATATTTTTAAGCTCCAAAATTGGACACTTTAGCAGTTGAGATCTGTGCAAGAAAGTGCTCAGCTACAAGTTGAAATTGGAAATTGGAAAATCAAGGAACATTAACCACGCATAAAAAAATGCATTAACAGGAAAATTTAAAAAAAAAAAAAAAAAAAAAAACTGCTGCTACTATAGGAACTAAGGACAAAATGGAATTTTTGCAACACTTCTGCTGCAGCCTGCAACCATCTTCATACGCAACACAGCAACAATATCTGCCATGAGGCCATGTAACAAGCATCTGCAGAAATCAGAATTAGATAATATTCACATGCAACAAAACATTTACACACTGCCAATGCCAAGCTGCAATTGTAACTAACATTTACACACTGCCAATGCCAAACATTTACACACTGCCAAGCTGCAATTGTAACTAACATGCAGCAGCAACATCAGGAACACCTGAACAGCCAATTGCAATGTGCCAATTACATTTACACACTGCCAATGCCAAGAACACCTGAACAGCCAAACCATAAACACAAATACACAACATTTAAGACAGTAGCAGCCAAATAAGTCTAACAGGCTCAGACTCTAAGTCTCTAACACAATTGCAGCCAAATAAACAAAGTACAAAACAGAGAGGGCATCCCTCAATTCAAGTTTACACTAATAGTCTCGAATCAACTTAGTCTTAATTCTTAAATAAGGATTCCAGGAAGACGCGCAAGACAACGCTTAATATGCTTCCTTAAACCACCAGATGTTCCATTCCTCTTTGGATTAAGATTATAGACTTGACCACAATGCTTGCACTCTACTGGGAATAATTCAAAGGAGAATTATTCAGCAATTTTTAATTTTGTTTTTAATATTGTATTCATAGATTAGTGAGAAAAGCCAAAGAGCTGCTTCAGGGAATAATTCAAAGGAGAATTCTAAGACATCAGAATGAGGAGTTTCTGGAAACCCACATCTTAAATCCCTACAGTACAATTCAGCATTATCTCATGAACAAACACAAATCTTAGAACAGAAGCTACAATGATCATCCAAAAGGTTGAAACCCCCAAAATCTTTAAAAAAATCGATTTTTACTTTTTAGACCATCTTCGATCATACTCAATAAAACCCAGAACAAAACTTTGCCTACCAAACACGAAATTTCAAGTTTCATTCACAAAGATTCATCCTCACCTTCCCATACATGATTTTGATAAAAAAAGCAGCAAGATTTTTCAAGAAATATCCCTTAATCTGAGTGTCAATGTTAATCTTCTGAGTGGGATATAGATTGATAAAATGTAGACGGAGAAGTGAGAACAAGAGAGAAGCTCTGGTTCCTCAGTTTCTCTATTTGTATCCAATACTTTCCCCTTTTCTCCATCGGAATGCTAGATGAAATCATCAATTATGTTCAATCTCTACAGAAACAAGTCGAGTCTAGAAAGTAGAAACATACCTTTGAAAATTGAAACTATCGGCAAGTTCGCAACAGCAGCGTCTTCGTTTGCCCGGAATTTATGAGAAGTGAGGAGTGAGGAGTCGGAGCTCGGAAGTCGGAATCGCCAATTCGCCTAGACTCAATTGTACTGCCTAATGCTAAATCTTTAATGGCCTAACCAGCTAACCTAATGAGTAATGCCCTAATCTTTAGAGTGGGCTTGGGCAGTTGGGCTAGGAATTTAATCAAAAAAGGTTTGGGCTTGGGCGCTGGGCTGGGCAGTAAGAAAATGTCTTTAAAAATTCGGTATTTCGGTATATCAAAATTTCAAAATTCTAATATCGAAGATCGTATCGAAATACCGAAATTGTAATACCGAATTAGATCGAAATAACGAAAAAATCGAAATCGAAATACCGAATTAATTCGGTCCGGTTCGGAATTCGATTTTTCAGATTTTATGCCCACCCCTAGGTACTCCGGTAGTACAAGTCACGAGCGAGTAGCGACTACAAATAAGATTATGAATTCGATTGAGAAAAGATACATCATTTGTTACGCTTAAATACATGAAAGAAATAAGAATTTCTCCTTTCTTTTTCTCTATATCTCTTGTCTTTACTTGTTTTATAGAATTATAACAAAATAATCCCTTAAATTATGAATTTATATTGAACGATTTATATTTAAGAAATTAAAGACCAATAAATAAAGTATAAAAACTTTTAAAATGCTATAATTGTAAATGAATATGCTATTTTTTGAATAAAGCAAAAAGTACTATTATTCGTATAAATATTTTTTTAATAAGAGTTAAACCGTGTAAAAATCTCAAACAAAGGTTTGGTGTATAACATAGACACCAAATTTTACTCCTTTTTTCAAATTATCTTAATCATAATTTATTTAATTTATCTTTGCTGTTTTATTCTCTTCCATACAAGATGATTAAATTTTTCTCTACGAGCTTAGAATTATTCTTTTCCTTAAGATTACTGAGTAAAAATTGCAAAAAGAATGAAAATTTTGTTGGAAAAATATTTGTAATATTTTGAGTTTAGTTTGAATAAGTACTTTTAGTATCATCGGGACTAAGTACCCAAGAAAATTAATATCATTTGGACTTCCAAGAATATGTTAGATTTTTTTAATTTGACCCTCCGAATTATTTTTCATGCTCCATTCCAAAATCTTCCAAAATAAAGAGAATTGTAATGAATGATGCCTACGTGGGATTTTTTAGCATGAATCTAGATTATTCAGACCTCAAAAATACTATAGCAACCATAAAGTTGACAAACTGAATCAGAGCACTTAAAGAACTGGCAATTGAACTCGTGAACGGACAACACCAACATACTAGTTAAAGTCGTGAAGGCTGCCTAACACTAAAACGAGACATTGAATATAATATGAACGTGTTATAAAATAAAGACTATAAAGTAAAGGCAAGTATAGAGAGAAACTGATATATTATTCGAATTCAAACTGATGTACATAATGAACTTAAAACTCTTTTATTTATAGAAGAAATGAAGCAGCTACGAGGATTTTTAGGAAGCAACTGCGAGGCTTTTCTTCAGCTGCTAGTCAGCTGTCTGCATGAGCTGCTTGCAACCTGCCTGCTTAATAAGAAGCTGCTGCAAATCATTTCATTGAGTTGCTTGCAACCTGCCTACATCAGCTGCTTGTAGATAAACTTTAACAGAATACTAAATGGATAATCTTCTTCCGAAAGATTATCTATAGAGGAGTAATAAATGGACATCCACAATATAATAGTTTCATAACACTCCCCCTTGGATGTTCATTAAAAGATAATGTGTCTCGTTAAAACCTTACTAGGAAAACCCCAGTGGGAAAAATCCCAGTAAAGGAATAAGAGTACACATATTTAGTAATACGCATTTCTAGCTGCCTCATTAAAAACCTTACAAGAAAAACCTCATGGGAAAAAAACTTAGTAAGGGAAAAAGAGTGCAGCCCGTATTTCACTCCCCCTGATAAAAACCTTGTTTCAATATTTGAGTCTCTACATTCCAATATTGTATAATATCTTCTCAAAAGTTGAAGTTGGCAAAGATTTAGTGAACAAATCTATCGGATTGTCACTTGAACGGATTTGTTGCACATCAATGTCACCATTTTTCTGAAGATCGTGTGTGTAGAATAATTTTGGTGAAATGTGCTTCGTTCTACCTCCTTTTATAAATCCTCCCTTCAAATTGGGCTATGCATGCAGCATTGTCTTTGTAGAAAATTGTGGATCTTTTGTCACATTCCAAACCATATTTTTCTCGAATGAAATGAAACTGCTTGTAAGCTGCTACTGCAAGCTGTTGTATAAGTTGCTAATAGAAGCTGATGTGTAAGCTACTTATAAGCTGATGTGTAAGCTGCTTGTCAGCTACTACTGGAAGCTGCTATGTAAGCTTCTTGTAAGCTACTACTATACCATATATAGATAATCTTCTGCCGGGGGTAATATTTATCCATAACGGACTACCGAAATGATAAGCTTCTCCAGGAAGCTTATTTCCAATAAAGTACTAAATAGATAACCATATTTACGGCGGAGTCCCATATGAATAAGCTTATTTAGGAAGCTTATGTACAACGGGGTTCATCATCTCTTCTGGAGGTAATACCGGATCCTTAATCCGTGTAAGAGAAGAACTATATCTTGCTAGTAAATTAACAGAAAATGCTATGTCAGGCCTTGTAGCATTAGCAAGATGCATTAGTGCACCAATTGCACTGAGACAGGGTACTTCGGGACCAAGGAGTTCCTCATCCTCTTCTAGGGGTTGGAACGGATCCTCATTCACTTTAAGTGATTGAATATTCATTGGTGTACTTAATGGGTACACTTTGTCCATGTAAAAGTATTTTTAAAACCCTATTGGAGCTCTTCCGGAGTTNCTTTGGAACCGATTGGTCTACCACGCTTCATGCGTACAGTAAACTCTATCCTTCAGGGACTTTAAATTTTAATAGGAGCATTTGCAGCTGAAATATGATATTTGATTTTGGATCAGCAAATGCTTCTGGCATTTGACTTGAATTATCTTCTAAGTGAGGATCATATTAATGATAATTCGATTCATATAGCATATTTTCAGCTGTTTATTCTATCCCCCAAATGTTAGAAAACTAACATATATTCTCAATCTTCTTTGGGAAACATATCTTTGTGCATTGTGGTAGAGAAATTAATCATATACTACACATCAAAAGATAGTAAAAATATTTGGTTTTTGATCCTAAAGCAATTGTGAGGGGAAGACTTATCATATATTGTTGGTCTGATGCATACAAGTGCTGCTATATGCAATTTAGAAAATCTTAGACCAACACATGAAGCTTTGTTCTCATAAGCAATGGTTTAGCCATTAATAGGAGGTATTCAATGCTAAACCAGCTTGGATGCAAACCAGCATTATCAAGATGAACTTTCTTGATTTCATAATCTGAAAGTTTTGCTCTTAGTTGAGAAAAACAATTTCAAATGCCAAACTGCAGGTTGACAATGAACACACATGTAACCGTCTTATATATGCATCTATAAGTGGTTCACATGATAAGTGAATGAGCCCAAATTCACCTTTTATATATTTCAGAATCAGGGGTCTTAGTCCCAACTTTAGCTGGTATAATCAATTTATTATGAGAACAAGCAACACATGAGAATTATTGAAGAATCTTCTAGTTCTTCAGTATATGCTTATCTGAATTCTCAAATAGCTTATTTAAAAATGGCAAATGAAAACTTCAAGTTTATCATGGCATGCGCTATCTCTTAGTAAACTTCTGGTTTACTATGGCATAAACTTTTGCATTAGTAAACTTCTGATTTACTGTGGCTACTTTTGTATTAGTAAACTTCTAGTTTACTAAGATACATGATATGGTACAAAATTAAAGAATAAGGCGGGTAACTTCTCACATACATATTATTTTACCCCCTATGATTGTGGAAACATGCAGATTTTCAATCTTCCAATCATTTGTAGTCTCAATATGATTGTCATTTATATTAGTAAACTTCAGGTTTACTACAACATATATTTTGACCATAGTCATATAATATGAATGACATATCTGTATATAAGCTTTTCGAGAGACTTCATTTATTATCCACAATCTAATATTTATCGGACACTACTGGTGTCATGTGTCTTCTAGACAAACAATTAGCTCTTCAGGAGTTGTTGATACATTTTGTATTATCAAATATTGCTCAGACACTTTTGGTATCCACCAACCTTTTGACAAATGTCTCCTTCAGGTAGAAATGCCATTAATATCTGAATATTTTTATATCAAAGCGTAACCACATAGTCATTACAACCTTCAGGGAAAGATACACAAGTTGTTATTTCCTTCGGGGAACTCGATAACTAACCATAACATATTAATGTGGTTGTAGTAGACAATATTCTACAAGAATGCTTTTGCCTTGGAATGATATTTAATAAATATTCCAAGATATTTTACGTACAACGGGTACGTGCAACAATGATCTTTATGCCACAAAAACAAGATTTATATCCTTTGTTATTCTGCCTCTTCAGGAGGTGAGTTGTTGTATTTCTTCATTCACTCCAGGGAATGAAAATGTGCTTCAAAAATAACTTTGAATAGCTTATTATTTTGTTTAAGCACAGAAAGACACAGTTTCATAATATTTTCCTGCTTCACGAGAAAATTTCAATTGTGTTACTTCTTCAGGAGCAAATTTAAAATACGAAATATTGAGTATATATTCCCTCAAACATATTACCTCTTGTGAAGGTGAATTGTAATATATTCACATCAAAAGCGCGTTCATATTTACGAGCTTTATTAATATTGTCACATTCATTTCGGGGAATGGATTAATATATATCAAAAGTTCTCATTCTTCAGGGAACGAAACATAATTATTTAAATGTGAATTAATCATACCAAATTGTGTGACGGCTTATAACCTCTTTTAAGATATTGCTACTTCAGGAGCAAATCGAGGCATGCAAGTAATGTAGAGAAATTTTCTCTAATTTATCTTCAATTGTAACCATAGAAAGCCTAAATTATCACTTCTGGTGGTCATATGCATATACAATTTCTGGTAGTTGTATATTACTTTCAAACTCTACCAGAGTTGCAAGCAAACTTATTGTCTTTGCTCGCCTTTATA